TAGCTACGTTATGATGAAGAACGTTATTTGCTCAATCCCCTATTTATCAAAACGAAAATAGTTGCCGTCTCATCGAATATCAGAGTGTCACATTTTATTAAAATACCTTTTTTAAAAGGAAATTATTCAGCAGTTTTCGCTAATGCTCTCTATCAGATGGAGAAAAATCTCTCAACAAAATAAGAGAAATTGTTATATCCTAAAAGTATGATTTCTTGATAATTAAAGCTTAATCAGCTAGCTAAGCGATTTTAAATTAACGATTTTGTTATTTAAACTGAAACTTTATAGTGAAATTAAGCAGAAATGGTGAAAAAGTATATAGGGTGGAATAAAAAATTAAAACACTTTACGATGAACTGTGAAAGTAATCGTGCTAAATTTAAAACTTTTTTATGTTATGACGCTGCAATTTAAGCGGATAAAGCAGCGCCGTTTTGGAGAGATCGTAAAAACTGGCAGTTTTAGGTAAAATGTAATTAACTGCTTCCATATCACATAACTTAAAATGAATACTCACTAAAATATTATTTTAAGTCAGCACTTAAATTGTTTTGTGACAATTTAAAATTAACTACTAAACAATAATAAACTTTTGCGCCGACAGGTATTTTCTCTTTTTAATTAAAAGAGTAAATGCATCACAAAGGACAAAGGAAATTTTTACATTTGAGCTGAGCTTTTTTGTATGAAAAATTTTTGTAAATGAAACTACTTTTTACGTCTATTTAAATTTTACAATAAATTTCTACTTTATTATTTGTAAACAATTTGAAGCAGGAATATTTTTTCATGTACCAAATATCAACTATTTCATACAACGATTAACGGAATTTATAATTGTCGAAAAGAAGTAAGTTTAAAAATGAGTCATTTTCTCTTTCATTTGAGAAACAATTTAGTTTTCAGAAATTCTAAAAAAGGCGGTATCTTAAAAGATATAAGTGTTGTTCAGGACACAGATTGCGATGTAACTCGTGTCAGTTTCGTGTAATTCCGTTCATATTGAGGGAAAACTGCATCAAGGGAAGGCAGCCCTCTAGGAAAGACAAAGAAAAGGCTGGCTTAGAACTGGAAATGTATCAATAAATGAACGGGAACGTAAAGCATTTATAACTTTCAATATTATTGTTTATTCAAAGAAAAAATAAAGAAGAAAATATTTTTAGTTATTTTTTTGGGAGCAGGGAAGGAGCTAGGTGATTTTTTTACAACAATCTTGCACAAAAAAGACTGGTTTCTATTTCAAGACTGGACAGAAATAAAGCATTGTTGGTGTTTTATAGCTTGGATACAAATTCAACATGGTACAACAATCCTCTGCTTTTTTTCTTTTTCTTTTTTTTTCCGGCGAATGGGACAGTCTGCAAATAAATAAGTTCTTTCAATCCATTTTTTTTAAATTTCAAATATATTATAATTAGAGTTTTGAATAATGTTAAATCAAATTGGCTTTAGAGACTGAAATCTTAAAACTTATCGTGACAGTAAACGAGTTAAGAGAGAAATTTGCGCGAGAAATTCTTTTCGCGGAATTTTTCTAACGCTCAATTTGTTATGTTTAGTGGAGTTTACACAGATTTACCGAGACTCATTTCACCAAGAATGTATACTAATTTTTGTAACAAGAGATAATATTAAAAGACATAAACATCATCAAATCCTTTAAACTCTTCCTTGTTAAAACGGCCCTTATATTAAGTCTCCCAGTCTTTAACATGCAAATCTCAAATGTCGCCAAAAGCTTATCTACCGTTGCTTTAATAAGAAAGAACCAAATTTTCTGTACCAAAGGAAATTAAATGTTGGACTTTTGTAAATAATATAGCTTATGCAAAATGTGAACCTGCTTTTTACACAGAGATTCAAAGTACCTATGAAGTGTGTTTGAAACCAATAAAGCCCTCGTGTTATGGAAAATTCTTATGTATTTTTTGTTATGTATAATTATTGCGTATTATTTTACTGTGTTTAATGAATTTGTATTGAGCTTATTTAAAATTAATGTATAATATTTAATATTGTTAAACTTTACGGCAAAGCTATTTTAAGTTTGGCAGAATATGTGTTACAGTTAAAAGGGCGCGGGTGTTTTTCCGTTTCTCACGAGTCGGCTTCTTTTGGAAGTTAAGGGTCAGACTGCCCTGCTTCATTTTCCTCTTTCGCGGGAGTTGAAAACACGTGTTTTGCTCGTTCAGAGGCGAATAGTTCTAAGGGGCGGCGATTTTTGACTGAGTTATAGGTGGGAAACATTTTTCTGTTGCGTGAAAAAGGAAGGGTCTGTCATCTTGTAGAAAGTTCTGAATTTCTGAGAATTTTAGAGGCTATTTATTACCTTCTTCCTAGTTGGCTAGAGGGAGTCCAAGTTTCCTTAAGATTGGTTAAATTTTTAATTTTAGTGTTGTTTGAGCCAATAGTGATTTTGAGGCGTTTCTTGGTGAGTGTCAACCGAGTTGTCTTAAGCCGTTGCAAGGGAGAAGAAGGGGGGATTTTTGCGAGATTTGGCCCAGTTTTTGAGAGGAGCGTTACCCGGCGACCCCTTGGGGGGCGAACGCGGTTACGGTTAATATTGGTGATCTCCGTGGCACTGACAGCGGTGACCGGTCCCAGCTCGTCGCGGGCTCCTTGCGGTTAAATTTCGGCATAATTGGCAAAGGATCTGGAGGTAGGTCCAGCGTCTGAATCATGTCTCTGACGTTTTCCATGGGTGGAAAGAGCTGTCTGACTGCTCGCGCTGAAGTTCCAGTTTGCTTTGGAAAATATGAAAAAAGAGGGTTTGAGCTGCGTTTTCTTTTCTCCAGAAGAGGCGTTTTTTTTGCGAGATGATTAAAAATTTTGTAATAGATGTAAAGAGCAATTTACTACAGATTTTCCCTCTTCACCCGAATCTCCAGATAACTTTACCGAAAACCGAAAATTTGACATTCCCGAAGTGACTATGTCTGACACTTGGAAGTTTCAAACAGAAGTATATGTCATTAGAATCCGGCACCAGTGGTTCTAGACTCATAAACATTCGCGGGTAGAAGTATTTGTTATTACTATATGGCACCTGACACATAGACGTTCCACACAGAAATATGATCCTGAGGAACGAACTTTTCCCTGATCTGGCTGTTGAGTTTTACAAAAAGGACTTCATCCCGTTTCCAGATATTCTTGTACAGAATGGACTTGAGCTCGAGAGTGTTAGTTAAACTGTAATCAAATTGTTGGCTCAAGGAAGAAGATTTCCTCCGTAACTAGGAAAACTGGACACTCCCCTCAAGGTTGTGTATTCCGAAGTATATATGAGTGAAATTTTAAGATTATTTTCTCTCTCTCTTAGTATTCGCTAATGCCATAGTGGAATAGTTAATAATGATTTATTTGCGTGTTTATATTGTTATTACTTATATAAATTAGATATTACAGTTAGTAAAATTAAGAAGTAATTTATTATTTCAAGTGATGGCCAGTTTTGGGATGTTTAAAATTTGTTTCACCTACTGAGTTTGTGAGTCAGAAAATGTTCACCTTTAATTAATGAGAACCATTTAGTTGGAGAATTAAAATGTGTTACACCTTCTTAATTTGTGAAAAAATGTTAATTATTAATTAAAAATTTTAATTAGTGTAAGCTGAAATTTTGTGTAACAGATGCGATATTTTCATAGTAAAAATATGTGGTAGGGGATACTGATCAGTTACCCAAGTATTTACTAATAATATATATTCAAGAATTTAATAAATGTGTTTGATTTAGAACTTTTAATTGCACTTGTTTTATTTTGTGTGTTAATTTACAGTGGTCTGTCATGTTCCTCCATTTGTTTGAGACGGGAGGCTTTTAAGAAATATGGAGTTTTATTGAATTGGTGTTATTGATTTTTCCCTAGTGGGCTTCACAATGCGCCCTATTGTACTAAACCAATACCACTGTACGATTGATAAGATAGGATATACGATTGTTTATTCGATTGATCTTTGATTATTATGAATTTGATTTTTCTTTGATTTGCGTAATTTAAAATTTTTTTTTGTCGCGGCACCAAGTAGTCAGCTTAAAAGATAGTTAAATGTAAATAGTAAAAATTTTTTTTTTCTACGTAACACTCGGTTCTAAAGAACATAGTTAAAATCTCAACTTATATTTCATTTTCAGTAAGGTATAAAGTATTTTATGTTAATTAATCAATTATTATGATTCAAACCTCCATTATATTTTCTCCTTTCCTTAAGCCTCACCAGGATGTAAATTATTTTGATATGAATTTAAGTCATGGATTTTGAATGTTTTAGATATAGAGCGCTTGGCAGTTAAGCCTACAGTTTACATTCCATCGCTCAGCTCTGCCAGTGAATATTTCGGCTTCAGCCATTTTGCTAGCCGATGTTAATACGCGCTATTTAAATATTTAGTCATGTCAAGTAGTCCAATTAGTGTATTCTCCTATTATGATGCTGTTAATTTAAAAATTATGCTTTTTATTTATTTACGTAAAATGCTTTGGTACACTTGAACGCTTTGGTAACACTGCATGCAATTATTATTGTATTAAGAATCTAGAGCAAAAAAGACATACTCCATAAATGCTTATTCAGTTGAGTTGTTCATCTGTTCATTAAGTATATAAATATTTCGTTCTTGTTAAATAGATTTTTAAAGTATTTCACCACATCTTAGTATTTGCCTGTTCTTTTTCTGTCTTCACATGAGAGTAAGGTATTTCAGAAGGATGTCGCACATGTTAAATATATCATTCTTTCGATCTATCATCTATCTAACTAGTAACAAACCTGCTTAGAACTTACGCTTAGTAAGCAGAATGTTTCGAAAAAATAAAATATGGTCTTTTAAACTTTCTTTTATAAATAGCATTTTCAAAAGACATTTATGTTCTACAGCAGACTAAAGATAAATATTGTGATTCAAAATGGAAAAGGCGAAAATTTTAATTTTATTCTCTAAACCAGTAAATGGTAATATTGAATTTAATTCCTTGTGCATCTAAACTTACTTGAGGATGAGTGCACTGCCCTTCACCAGGCTCCCCAGAAGTCTCATTATGGTTTCCTTTCCCTACCAGTCTTTCACATGAGAACTATCAAAAGCAAAACAGAACATTCATTACAAGAAAACTAACCTATAAAAGCTTTAACTTATAAATGCAGAACTTAAATTGCTAAAAATATTCCAAGGCATAAGAGAAATTTACTGGTCATCAACCAAAAGCAGAGTTTATTAATTCCAATAAAATCTTCATCAAAGTTGTTTCCTTCTACAGAAGACATCAGCAGTTTACATTTAAGCTATGTATGAAGAAATTTGGAAAGACCTTCGCTTTAATTTGGAAGAAAGTTAATAATATTCCTTCTGCTGTAAATTTATATAAATATTTTAAATATGTATGTATTTATTTAATAATGATTGTTTCAAACTTATAAAGTTTGTTCTGCATTCTTGTTCATTTATTTATTATTTATTCTGTGCCTTTTGCGTATACTTTTATATATTCTGTGCAATTTTTAAGCAGGTAAAGAGGGGAGGATTCCTGTGTATTTAAGTGGGATTTGAACTATTTGTCACTTTAAGGAAATCTATATTGCGTTTGCGCGAATAGTTGTATGTAAGAGGTACTGGTATAGCGTATGCAGTCGTGACTCATCGGACTCGAGTCGTTTTCCAAACATATATCATTACGAAGCAAAATGTTTTGCATCCACAGGACGTATACCAAGTTAGACGTATATCTGGGCATCATTGTATCTCAAAATGTCATTCAATGTCTCTTTGATTTTGTCATCGTGCAGCAGAAGTTATTGATACTCTTTACGACCACATTTGATATTGATCATGGAGATTTCTGTTCATCAAATATAGCCGAAATTGCAAAGATTTCCTCTTCCTATTGTAACGAATCTACATACTAAAGTTAAACGTATGTTTTGTCCTTATTGATGTTGCAAATTTAATTGCCATTATTAATTAAAATTTAATTACCATTAAATTAATTGAGTATAATTAATTAATGGTAGTAAAAAAGGAAAATCGACTGTATGGACGCTATTAGTTGAAGTGCAGAATTGTGCTGTGCGTTTACCAAATGAGCAAATTGCGATTTGAAACCATTAAGTTACTTATTAGATAGAAATTTATCTTCCTAGCCAACTGATTAAAATTTAACGAAAGAATATCTATGGATTATCTTAATCATTATAGAGCTGAAGGAATAATTAATCTTTTCTTTCTATTTCTTTTCCCTGAAGTATTAACGCTTTTATAAAGTAGCTGTAAGGTGTTCATAAAAGCACTTTTAAGATTTGCGTTTCATTGGCAACTCAAATGCAAACTGACTTTCCTCTAGGAAATTTTGTTTCATTTGATATACGAAGATTTATGTCACAACTATGCGTTTCTAATAATAACTATGAAATACAATGTGATTTTCTTTTAACTTTGCTCTTTTAACTTCACAGTGCAGGTAAGTTTAGTTTAATTACGGAAAACATGCATTTCACCAATTTTTTCTTCCAGAATTCATTGATATCGAAGCTAATATTGTCGAAAAATGTTATCTGATTACTAAGCATTACAAGACAAATTAATACTTGGAAATGTAAAATAATATCATCATATTAAAATTATAATAGCTTTCCAATGTTAACTTAAGAAATATAACACTCTTCAATGAAACAATAAGAATAAACATTACCAAGTTGGCAGTAGCTCCTAGTACAATAGCAGCAACGATGGCACAGAAAATGGCGTTGCGGAGAGGTCTTCGATTGTCTAGTGCTGACCCTAAAACTCGAGCCCAACCTGCGGAAGGAGCTAAAGCCGTCGAAGCACACACTGCTGCTAATGTGCCTCCCAGAAAAAGAGTCACTGCTGGGAACACGGACACTGTCACAAGGGACCTGTTATTTTTAATAATACAAAAAAGGATGAGCATACAAAAATCATAATTCTGAAAGAACCTTCATGTACGAAGAAGAAAAAAAGATCTACGCCGCTCTATATTTTGCCTAACTATAAACTTTAATAAAACGCCGTTCTATGTTGCCTAACTATAAACTTTAACTCTTCATTTTCGCTTAAAAATACTTCAAGGCAGTAAAAAATATATTCCACACCAATGAAAACTACGTTCATATACTACTATTTAAAAATTGGGTTCGGTTTCTTGTTTTATGATACCATAATATTTACTCTGTCTTTCATTGCTCGCTTATGAAAAAACTAAAATCAACCGGGGCTACTTTTAGCACTTCGTAAATTCGTTCATGTCTGCCTATAGAAGTTTGCATTATATTTTCGGAGACATTCGGTCACAGATGGAATGCAGCCTCTTAAGTATTATTCTATTCGAATTTCATTTATGAGTGCAATGAAAAACATTGTGTAATCAGACAACCCCTAACATTGGATGAATTGATTATGCCATTGATAGACATCAGAAATTCATCCAATGTTAAGGGTTGGATGATATAATATTTAGTATTATAAGGTATTTTCCCCCTTTATTCCTGCATGGTGTAACGGTAGCACACTCGGCGTTTATTCGAGAGGTCCAGTTTCGAGTTCCGGAGAGGTCACTGCGTATCTGCATATGTTTCACGTCTCCTGCTTCAAGAGCCCACCAGCGGCCGAGCGGTAAAGTCGCTGAATACTGGTAGTTCGGTCCGAGGTTCGAATCCCGCGAACGGGCTGGCTGCATGGGTATTTTCGTGGTTTTCTCCATGTGTAACGTGTACACGAGCCAGTTTCCCTTAAAAAGTCCTCCACGAAGGCATCCCTCCCCTTAGGCAGATAGCCCTAGTGTGCTTTGCCATAATTAAATACACCAATAAAAAAAAAAAAAAAAAAAAAAAAAAAAAAAAAAAACACCACCTGCTTTAAGAAAACTTACTGACGCTATAGTGACGCTCGAACTAAAAGGTGGTGAACGATAATTCGTCACCACCAGAATTTGGCATTTGGATCCCTAATCCCCAATCGCCCTTTCAAAGGGGGGTATATAAGGTATTGCTCTTCCCTTTTTCATAAGATGTCGTTCATCTACGTTAATCAGTATTTAATTGTTCATTGATGAACTCAATTACGTTGATGAAATATGACTCATTGAAACCTAACTGATGTCTGGTTTCCACTAAGTTTTTAATAATTTCAGCATAAATGAGTTTCAGAACCAATGAAATCATTTGCACAAGGTGGTATGATATGTTTCAGTAATGCTTTTAAGTGCTTGTTGTTAATTCATGGTATGCTTCGCCTATGTTTTCGATAATCTTTCTGATGTGGCTCTGCCGAAATTCCATTAATATAATATAAACGTATTTGTTTCTGTTGTAGTTTTCGTGGCTTGTGTAAAAGTACGGGGAGAATAATAGGCCTTGAATGTCAAAATGAATCTTGATCGATTAGTTGGGTGAACGATGTCGTTTTTAGCTGAAGAAAGATTATATGCACGTTTTCTTTTAAATCACAACATATAACAACAAAACAACATATTAAGAAGCAAAAACAATATTTGACTTTCCAATATATGTAATTCTAATTTTCATTTGTTAATATAATTTTAGAAACATTTGATATTCAGCAGCATGCCTTTATGGAAATTCAGGCTACGCACCTGATTATGAGTAACAATTAAAATACTATTAACATCTCCCTCATCTCTGATTCTCATAAAAATCCATCAAGATGCCTATTGAGAAAGAGGAAAAACTGTGTTACTAACAACTACAGTAGCATATGTTTAAAAACTCCCTTTTCGAGCAAAAAATATTCTTTTCTAATGTTACGGATCACATACTGCGAATATTTCTTTTATTATTGAATGGTCAGAAGCATTACTGGAAAGGTTTTACAGGCGAGCTGAAGTTAGATTTCTCAGACCGAAATTGAATTTACTAATTATTATACCGTGTTGACATTGCAGAAAAGTCTGTACAAAAAGACGTAGCAATTTTAAGCAAATCAGGCATAAAGGTTTCACAAGAACTATTTATTTTCATACAGCAAGGAAAACCTTGTAGACATTAGGTATTTTTTTGGAAGCAGGAAAGATGAAAAATTAGCCACCGCCTTCGCCGGGAATCGAACCACGGACCTCTGGAATACCGGCCCAGCGTGCAGAACCACTACACCACGAAGGCACGCTAGGAATTCAGGAAAGATACCTTATAACCTATATTCACAAACATATTATTACTCAGTGGCAATCATCAGTACAAGAGTACAGTAGTATCGTATACGTACAGCAGTATCGTCCGACCACTAAAGACGTAATCATTCGCACCCACGGGTACGCGCTGTTCGGACTGATTTGTTTACAAAATGGTGGTAGATTAGAGAGATCATCCATGGTAATATAGCATGCTTAGGTTACCTCTCAGCCTCAGTATTTATCCGCGGCTGAGAGATTTTGTCAACAAAATCTCTGCTTTAAGAGTTTCAATGTTTTGACAGAATGGCAGATGAGGTTGCATGTGTGGTGTTCGGTCAATACCAGTAATCGTTTCGGATTGTCAGAATAAATTCTTTCATTGCAAAATAATCTCCAATTATTCTTGCCTGTTATTAGATAAAAACGAATAGTAAAAGGGCATCGTATATACAAGACTGAAAATTCTTGTGATTATTATTTCTAGGGACGCTTTAGGATATTGTTTTTATATACACTAGAGATGAGTTCTCAAAAGCTTGTAAGGTTTATCGTAAGTTTTTAACAGTTATCTTTAGTTAAAGCTACTTTCCTATCCCTCCTAATTTCAGCTTGCAGTTTCCTACCAGAATGTGGTTTTAGAATCGCGGTTAATGCAAATGAGTAACAGCGGTATTTAAGTCGAAGTTCCACTTACTTCGTTAGTTTAGTAGTTTAGTTTAGTGACGGAGGACGTGGGCACCACCCCTTTACCATTATGGACTTCGTTAGAAAGAAAGCCAGAGATTCTGAGCGCGCCTTTGCCTTATGGATACACTCTTTCTAAGCTATTACTACGCTCGGCCGTATTTCAGGCCCTTGATAGCTTCGCCAGTCTAGGTGATATTTAGGGGGCAACTGCTTAGAATTTTGATAGCTTTGGCTATAGCTTTTTAGTTAAGCATTAGTTAAGTTTAATTTCTTATTACTCTTGAGTTCAAGCCCAAGTGGAGGCTTTGCGGTACGCTCTGAGAAAGGAGCCGATTGTTCAATTCTTATTTTGAGAAATAAAGGGTAATTAATGCTTCTTGAGTTTTACTTGTGTGTTCTTGAACTGAAGCGAATATTCGCTTAGCTGTTCACGAGGTTCCTACGCACTTAGCTGTTAGATAAAAGTTGAAAACCCACAAGCTATCACAATATCGATGAAAAATTCTGAAAAAATACTAACTGAGTCCTCTCTGGTGCCTCACTATCTGCTAAGTGAAGTTAGATCTACTGGGATTATATTTTAAAAATATTGTAATTTGAGATTTGACTTCAGCTTTGGAAAACAGCCTTTTATGTTTGACACTAAAAACAATTATAAAAGTGGTGGAATATACCCAAACAATACTTGAATTAAAAATAACGTCCTTTAGTAACGATGCTGTATTTTTTTATATTGTTTTGCATGTACGCACATGAGAAATATCATATTTTTGCCATTGATCGCTGTTAATATTCTTGTCATCGACAGTGAAGGGTTATTTGTAAATCTTAATAAAATTCATGTCGTTATTTTAATATTTAATTAGAGCTCAATAACATTCTACCTGATTATTTTATTTTGAATTTTTTTCAAATAATTGCCTTTTTTTAATCATTCTTTCCAGATCCTCAGTAAAATATCACATATCTTCAAGTTATTTGTGCAGTAGAAGTTCAATATTCTATGGAATTCCGTTAATTATAAGTAGAGAACTTGTCTGGTAAAGCTGAAAGAAACATTCCACTCAATAAATTTCTATTTAAAAATGCCTCCAGGTTTAAAAATTTCCTTATCTCCTTCAAATTTTCTTCTGCTTCTTTATCGTGAGCAAGACTAATTAGTTACCAATTTACTGTCTTCATAAAGCGAAATTTTTATTCGCAGGCATGACACTTGATTTCCTCTGCATTAGATTTTGCAATTCATTAAGTAGCTATTTCAAAAGAGAATCCGTTAGCTTATTTTTCTTCCATCAAGTGTGTAATCTTCACTTCTATTTATCTCGAAGTTTTTGTTGTGTGTTACCTAGGGAATATGTTTACTAACATCATCAGAAATATGTTATAATGAAAATTTCAATTTACAGCTAAAAACATTTTCCTTTGAGGAAATTATATAAGGAAAAATGTGAGGGATGTATATAATTTGGCAGATGTAAAAGTTTTATTAAAATTCGAGGTATTTCATTGTTATTTTTAATTTATCCTATCGAAAAATACCAATTTTTTAATCAAATTACGTAAGAAATTTTTACTTTCTTACCGCGTGCCTTCGCGCATCCGGCTAGTTAGGAAGGTCCGGAATTATAACTCCGGCGAGAACATAGTTGATATTCTCACATTTCAGACTCCGGAAATTCTAAACGACTGTACAAGTGGCAGTCGAACTAAATGTGGTGATAGATAAATCGTCACGACGTGGATTTGGTGACTGAATCTTCTGCTAACAGTTGTCCTTTAAGTATGGGATAATGTAAAGGATTTTTCTCTTTCCTTACCGCAAACCTTAGTGGTGCAATTGGAAGCACGTCTTGCTACCCTCCCAACCGGTATAGTGGTTAGCGTCGCTGACTGCCGTGCCGAAGAGCCCGGGTTCGATTCCCGAAGAAGGCATGGATGTTTGTAAATATATAATATCGGTGCGGCATGGCGGCACTCTAAATATGTGGTGAGCCGAAAGTCCTCTCGTGTGGTTTGGTGGAGGGGGAGACCTTAGAACCCGTACTCACGGCGTGCTCTCCA